GATTTGAGTCCCTGGCGGCGTAGTGTGTTGCTGATGGTAGGCTTTGTTACTTTGGTCCCAGCTCTCTGCAGGTCATTCACAAGGTCCCCCCGTGTGGTTCTGGGATTTTTGCTCACCGTTCTTGTGATCATTTTGACCCCACGGGGTGAGATCTTGCGTGGAGCCCCAGATCGAGGGAGATTATCAGTGGTCTTGTATGTCTTCCATTTCCTAATAATTGCTCCCACAGTTGATTTCTTCAAACCAAGCTGCTTACCTATTGCAGATTCAGTCTTCCCAGCCTGGTGCAGGTCTACAATTTTGTTTCTGGTGTCCTTTGACAGCTCTTTGGTCTTGGCCATAGTGGAGTTTGGAGTGTGACTGTTTGAGGTTGTGGACAGGTGTCTTTTATACTGATAACAAGTTCAAACAGGTGCCATTAATACAGGTAACGAGTGGAGGACAGAGGAGCCTCTTAAAGAAGAAGTTACAGGTCTGTGAGAGCCAGAAATCTTGCTTGTTTGTAGGTGACCAAATACTTATTTTCCACCATAATTTGCAAATAAATTCATAAAAAATCCTACAATGTGATTTTTGGAGAGAAAAATTTTCTCAATTTGTCTGTCATAGTTGACGTGTACCTATGATGAAAATTACAGGCCTCTCATATTTTTAAGTGGGAGAACTTGCACAATTGGTGGCTGACTAAATACTTTTTTTCCCCACTGTACATCAGAAAAGCAGAACTTAATATTTGGTACAGAAACCTTTGTTTGCAATTACAGAGATCATACGTTTCCTGTAGGTCTTGACCAGCAGGGATTTTGGCCCACTCCTCCTTACAGACCTTCTCCAGATCCTTCAGGATACGGACTTTCAGCTCCCTCCAAAGATTTTCTATTGGGTTCAGGTCTGGAGACTGGCTAGGCCACTCCAGGACCTTGAGATGCTTCTTACGGAGCCACTTCTTAGTTGCCCTGGCTGTGTGTTTCGGGTCTTTGTCATGCTGGAAGACCCAGCCACGACCCATCTTCAATGCTCTTACTGAGGGAAGGTTGTTGTTGGCCAAGATCTCACGATACATGGCCCCATCCACCCTCCCCTCAATACGGTGCAGTCGTCCTGTCCCCTTTGCAGAAAAGCATCCCCAAAGAATGATGTTTCCACCTCCATGCTTCACGGTTGGGATGGTGTTCTTGGGGTTGTACTCATCCTTCTTCCTCCAAACACGGCGAGTGGAGTTTAGACCAAAAACCTATATTTTTGTCTCATCAGACCACATGACCTTATCCCATTCCTCCTCTGGATCATCCAGATGGTCATTGGCAAACTTCAGATGGGCCTGGACATGCGCTGGCTTGAGCAGGGGGACCTTGCGTGCGCTGCAGGATTTTAATCCATGACGGCGTAGTGTGTTACTAATGGTTTTCTTTGAGACTGTGGTCCCAGCTCTCTTCAGGTCATTGACCAGGTCCTGCCATGTAGTTCTGGGCTGATCCCTCACCTTCCTCATGATCATTGATGCCCCACGAGGTGAGATCTTGCATGGAGCCCCAGACCGAGGGTGATTGACCGTCAATTTGACCGTCATCTTTAACTTCTTCCATTTTCTAATAATTGCGGCAACAGTTGTTGCCTTCTCACCAAGCTGCTTGCCTATTGTCCTGTAGCCCATCCCAGCCTTGTGCAGGTCTACAATTGTATCCCTGATGTCCTTACACAGCTCTCTGGTCTTGGCCATTGTGGAGAGGTTGGAGTCTGTTTGAGTGTGTGGACAGGTGTCTTTTATACAGGTAACGAGTTCAAACAGGTGCAGTTAATACAGGTAATGAGTGGAGAACAGGAGGGCTTCTTAAAGAAAAACGAACAGGTCTGTGAGAGACGGAATTCCTACTGGTTGGTAGGTGATCAAATACTTATGTCATGCAATAAAATGCAAATTAATTACTTAAAAATCATACAATGTGATTTTCTGGATTTTCTACATGCTTTGTAAGTAGGAAAACCTGCAAAATCGGCAGTGTATCAAATACTTGTTCTCCCCACTGTATATACACTGCTCAAAAAAATAAAGGGAACACTAAAATAACACATCCTAGATCTGAATGAATTAAATAATCGTATTAAATACTTTTTTCTTTACATAGTTGAATGTGCTGACAACAAAATCACAAAAATTATCAATGGCAATCAAATTTATCAACCCATGGAGGTCTGGATTTGGAGTCACCCTCAAAATTAAAGTGGAAAACCACACTACAGGCTGATCCAACTTTGATGTAATGTCCTTAAAACAAGTCAAAATGAGGCTCAGTAGTGTGTGTGGCCTCCACTTGCCTGTATGACCTCCCTACAACGCCTGGGAATGCTCCTGATGAGGTGGCGGATGGTCTCCTGAGGGATCTCCTCCCAGACCTGGACTAAAGCATCCGCCAACTCCTGGACAGTCTGTGGTGCAACGTGGCATTGGTGGATGGAGCGAGACATGATGTCCCAGATGTGCTCAATTGGATTCAGGTCTGGGGAACGGGCGGGACAGTCCATAGCATCAATGCCTTCCTCTTGCAGGAACTGCTGACACACTCCAGCCACATGAGGTCTAGCATTGTCTTGCATTAGGAGGAACCCAGGGCCAACCGCACCAGCATATGGTCTCACAAGGGGTCTGAGGATCTAATCTCGGTACCTAATGGCAGTCAGGCTACCACTGGCGAGCACATGGAGGGCTGTGCGGCCCCCCAAAGAAATGCCACCCCACACCATGACTGACCCATCGCCAAACCGGTCATGCTGGAGGATGTTGCAGGCAGCAGAACGTTCTCCACGGCGTCTCCAGACTCTGTCACGTCTGTCACGTGCTCAGTGTGAACCTGCTTTCATCTGTGAAGAGCACAGGGCGCCAGTGGCGAATTTGCCAATCTTGGTGTTCTCTGGCAAATGCCAAACGTCCTGCTTCTGACCGTTTGAGCAGACACATGCACATTTGTGGCCTGCTGGAGGTCATTTTGCAGGGCTCTGGCAGTGCTCCTCCTGCTCCTCCTTGCACAAAGGCGGAGGTAGCAGTCCTGCTGCTGGGTTGTTGCCCTCCTACGGCCTCCTCCACGTCTCCTGATGTACTGGCCTATCTCCTGGTAGCGCCTCCATGCTCTGGACACTATGCTGACAGACACAGCAAACCTTCTTGCCACAGCTCGCATTGATGTGCCATCCTGGATGAGCTGCACTACCTGAGCCACTTGTGTGGGTTGTAGACTCCGTCTCATGCTACCACTAGAGTGAAAGCACCGCCAGCATTCAAAAGTGACCAAAACATCAGCCAGGAAGCATAGGAACTGAGAAGTGGTCTGTGGTCACCACATGCAAAACCAGTGCTTTATTGGGGGTGTCTTGCTAATTGCCTATAATTTCCACCTGTTGTCTATTCCATTTGCACAACAGCATGTGAAATGTATTGTCAATCAGTGTTGCTTCCTAAGTGGACAGTTTGATTTCACAGAAGTGTGATTGACTTAGAGTTACATTGTGTTGTTTAAGTGTTCCCTTTATTTTTTTGAGCAGTGTATATATATATATATATATATTTTTTTTTTTACATGTTATTCCTGTTTGTCTTTTTGTAGTTTTCTAGGGTAATTTGTTTGCTTTTGTGTGTCCAGCACTCCAAGGTAGTGGGCTAGAGAGGGTGAGATAGTCTTGGGGACAATGAACCTTAAGCTCCCACTTCCCTATTGTGGAATGGTTATTTGTAACAGCTGTCAATGGTATTACATGCCTACCAATTATGTTTGGGGGGGGGGGGGGGGATCTTTTTTAAATAAATACACCCCCCCCCCCCAAAAAAAAAAAGATGTCTCCTTGCAAAAAAAATAAACATTTAAAAAACATTTTGAATAATAAATAGTATCACCAGCAGCTCCTTGCATGTTTCTAATACTGCGTTTGAGACTTGGCTCCAGTTTATAAACTATCAGTAACTGAACCAGTTCTATGTGCTTCAACTAATGACATAACTTCATTAAGCAAATCTGCAAACATGTGAGACCGTTTTGAACGATACCACTATAGATCACTACTGCAGACAGTTGTCAGACAACTTTTACATTTTCATATTATTTGGCATACAAAGAGACATGGTTCTCTTATTTAGACCGCAATTCCGACTGTCAGAAAAAGGATTACAATAGAGCACAGTTCGTAATTAATTCAATGTTGCCTTCGATCGAAACGATTACCACTGCTCTTGTTCCAGCTGTGTGAAGAATGGGACCTCTATAGTCTTTGGAACCGGACTCAAACTGCAGCGCAACACTAGCCAGTCCATTGGACAGCAATTGATATCAAGCACAAAGACAACTGTTTCTAGTCAGATCCAGAAGAGAAAAGGGGGCTGTAATAAAACACGTCCTTTCAACAATGCTAAACCTAGTAAATTAGCTCCACCAGGTTGCTTACCTCGTACAGTGAGACACCATGAAGGTCCTAATGGCAAAGGGTTAGGCGGTAGTCTGCAGTACTCTGCATCTTAATTATGGTAGAATGGCCATGCCTGTGGAAGGAAACACGGGGAGGGGTCGACTGCATCTGCAAAACATTTACTTTAGGTTTAAATCAAATGAAGGGGCCCTGCTTCAGAAGTTCGACCCAAGATGGTTGTAGACTGAAGAGCCCACACAAACTATAAACATATGCCTGAGTTTCTCAATGTTTTTATTTTTACTGACCTGCACCCAAGTTTGGATTGCGCTTCTAGATTTCATTTTCACCAAGTTTGTGAAAAGTAGTTATTTGAGTGAGAGCTAAAGCAAAGTCTGCAATTGAACAGCTTGTTTACCTAGAGGTTGCACATCTGATGATTGCAAAATTCATGGAATTATGCTCAGCATCCACAATAAAGTCCACATGAATTGATTGACCAATCTCATTTAATATTTTCTGTACAAAATGAGAACGCATACCATACAAACTGTACATTTATAACATGCCGACAAAATATTATTGCCAAAGCGGAGGGGGGGGGAGAACATACCTATCTTTAAATTCTTACACAATAAAATATATACAAATCATAATTCATAGCTTCATTTCTCCAATAGACCAGTTCTTTCTCTATTTTCCTATTCCCTAGCAGACTGATGACACAATGTGACTGCACTCAACAGAAATTCATCCAAAGATATGCACATCTTTTAGCAAAGGAAGGCCCTCCCTCTAATCCCCTAATAAAGCATGTCATCTCTGCAACTTTCCCATGTTGCCATTACAATCCCTTTATCTCAAGGAGTCTGTTTATGGATGAATGTAGAGAGGGATGTTAAGATGCCCAAGGATGGTGATGGCCACACACAGAAACCCAGGGAACATAGCACCAGGTCAGTAGGATATGGCTGTTCTTAGGAGGCAGGTAGATTGGGAAAATCACTCCATTTCAGTGAAGCGGGCAAACATGGCTTTGCGGACAGCGTCTTTGTATGTGTCTGAGGCAGACAGGCCGTAGCTGCTGCCTTTGGTTCCCAGACCAGCTCCCTTCGCCCTCAGCTGGGCCTGTAGGGAGATAACAGCAGGTCTGAGATCAGTAAAGCCACTCAACACTGGCGTATTTAAAAATATATAAATATATATATATAATTAGGTGGGGAGAAAGTGGGACCACTGTACCCAAAGATTGAACCCTGGTCTCCGGTGGAAAGTTCCATATGTGAAGGAGAGTGTTACCACTACAATGTGGCTCTGCACTTAAAGAGCACATTTAACAGACTTGTTGTATATGAAAGATACCTTCACAGGTTTTGCTTTTGGGTTGAAGCAGCACTATTACTGGTTTTAACTGGACGAGATTCACCTCAATAGGTGCAGTGATACCCTGCTGGTTGCGGCCCAGACCTCTGCCCTCTTGCCATCCCATGGCCTGCAACATCTTGTTCCCAATGTTGTCACTGTTCAGACCGTCTTTGGTGGGTTGTTCATAGTTACTGCAGAGGAGAAGGGGGAAATGACAACACAATCATTGTTACCCAATCTCATTTCATTCACTTCACAGAACATCACAGTATAGAGTCAACTAAGAAGAATAAGCATGATTATAGCACAGTAGCAGCTTACACGACTGGTGCTGGCTGTGCTGTGAATTTCTTCTTTTTGGGTGCTGGGGGTTCAGGGATGCCGTATTTCTCTCTCCTCTCTGCAGCTCGGTCTCTGTACTTCATCTGTTCACAGGGAGGGAAATAGAAAATGAATGTAGAAACAAACCTGATAACAGGGTTTCTCTTAACCAAAACTCAACCAGTAACGTTAGACCAACCGTCTTCATGTCTAAGGCTCACCTCTGTCTCTTTCCTCTCCAGCTCTTCCAGTTCAGCCTCACTCAGCTTAGATCTGCGGTGGACCTCCAGATTTTGCTGGGATAAGAAATAAAGATTAAGACCCTTTCACACTTAATTCATACATAAAGCTCTCTCTTTCCCATAATAGATGTTCATTTTCATAAGACTTTAATGAGTGGACTAAAGTGGAGTTCTTCCTGGGCGTCAGTGATCAGTACCTTGTGAAGGTCAGAGAGCTGCTGGTGGCGCACCAGGCCGTCCTTATTGGGGAACTGTCTCCTACACAGCAGGCAGGCCATCTTCTTCCAGTCTGTCAGCTGATCCTGGCCCTGCTCACCACTGCGCTCCGGCTCTGCTGCACCCCCCTCCTCTGGGTCACTGTCCCCACTGTAGGCTGCCACCAGACCAACCTGGGGAAGGACACAACCAGATAGTTACCATACAAGACTGGAAGATAAACTCTAAAATTACAGATCATACATTTGAGTCTAGTATCAATATCTTACCTTGGCTGAGTTGGTTGGGGGCCGGCTCCTCAGGGCGCTGCACTGCTTCTGACATGAGCATTTCCAAGCTTCCAGCCTGCTGCAAAGTCACGACAACACTATTAACTGCCATCAAGTCACCTCTTCAATCTGCCGCAATTAACTCAAAAAAGTTTCACTGGATGATTTTTCTAAAGCAGCGTTTCCCAAACTCGGTCCTTGGGACCCCAAGGGGTGCATGTTTTGGTTTCTGCCCTAACACTACACAGCTTGATGATTAGTTGATTATGTGAATCAGCTGTGTAGTGCTAGGGCAAAACCAAAAACGTGCAGCCCTTGGGGTCCCGAGGACAGAGTTTGGGGAACCCTGCTCTAAAGGATTCAAGCAATCATGGATAGACCTAAAATGGCTACCTTCTTCTCGAAGAGTGTGAAGCCTGCGTCGGCGGCCGCTGCCTCTTTCCTCTCCTCCTGGCTGACGGGCTGGAAGCTGCTTTTGAAGTTCTCCTTCTGTTTGTTCAGACTCTTCGCCCAGCGCTCCATGTCCTTAGCAATCTAGAAAGAGCATGACAACTCAGTCAAACTCCACACACACTTTAATACAACACCCCTTGACAACCACAAGGGTTTCATGACATTGTCCTGATACCAACAGAATGTAGAGATGGCAATGCCCCCGTTTTCTAATATACAGCTATACTGCCTTGACATCTGAAGTGATCCTGGTCTCCTCTGCGTACCTGCTGAGCAGTCTTGCTCTTGGGCTTGTCTTGTTTCCTCTCCTTGGATTCCTTAGCCTCTTTACTAGCTGCTGCTGCTGCATTTGCAGTCTGCTCAGTTTGGTCGGCGGCTGAGGCAGGGACGTACGTCTGCTTCTCACTGTCCCAGTACAGGTACTGCTGTGTCTGGGAGTTATAGTAGTACTGGAGGAGAAGATAACTGTCAAAACACATACACCCACATACCCCTTCTTCAGTCAACTCATGAAAACATTGACCGGTGTGTGGGTAATTACATGGGTATTTGGGTCGTAGTAGAGGCCAGTTTCAGGGTCGAAGTAGTAGCCAGAGGATTCGTCATACTGGTAGGTGGAGGTGTCGGGGACAGCTGGGGATGAAGACAAGAGTATTGAAGATTGTTTGTAATCAAAAACCTGCCTTGAATAGAGTAGATCATTTTACATCTGAAAGCATTCCACTAAGTTATTATTTTTCATTCTGCACTGGAACTTGCAGTGCCAGTCAGTCAGGTGAGGGAGGGTCTTACCGGTGTCTGTGGCCAGTCCAGAGAGTGTCGCTGTGGAAACCGGCGCTGTAATGGTCGCAGCTGCCGAGTGAATTCCAGTCTGTTTTGCGTCCAGTTGCTGGGCCAATTGCAGTGCCTGTAAAGACAGAATTGGTCATTGTGAGAATCTTTACGGCAAGCATATTGTACGTGGTGCAGTAAAGAAGGCTGTGTGTGTATTACCAGCCCCATAGGTTAAAGACATAGGACTCACTTGTGTGGAAGTGTGACTGATGAGGTTGGGTTGGTAGACCTGTGCACCCTGTGAAATCACCACTCCTGTAGCAGCTGGGACACCTGGGGCCGCTGTGAACCAAACACACCCAGGCTTTATTACATGCTCTTACAAAACATGTCTTTTAGACAGAAACACCACAGTGTGTGCTCCACAAATCAGAAGGCTATTAAAGGCATGGACACTGAATGCAATGCAAATGTCGCCTCACCTCCCAGTATTCCGTTCCCCTGGGAAAGGTCTCCTGCTGACTGCTGGTAGTAGGCCTGGTAGTCCTATCAACACAGCAAGGCACACAGTCAGCCACACATTGAAGCAGCAGCGTCTGCAATACATCCCAGGTAACCACCACCGTACCTGTGTATAGGGAACGTAGCTCTCCTCTAGGTAGCTGTACTCTGACAGCTGTCCTTCAGCACCCTGCTGTGGCTAGGAAGGAATACACTGACTGTTAGTATGTGCATTGGGAAAACAAAACGTCACAGGTGAATGTGAGGAGAGATGTGGGTGTGCGCGCGTTACCTGGCTGGAGGACCACTGGGCAGCAGCGATGGCTGTGCTGGCCACAGAGAAGGCACTGATCCGGTTACAGTCTGGGAGCAAGAGATCCCTGAAGAGGCCAAGGAGAGTAGAGATTAGGGAGACATCTCCATCACTATGCCCTCTGCGGACATCATTCACTGAAATTATGCTGAGAACATTATAACCCTAACCACAGACGTCGCTGTGACGGGACACTCACTTCCTGGCACTCTTGGCATAGTCCACACCGATGGTCTTCCCATCCAGCTTGAGAGGGGGCTGCAGTCCTTGTAAGATGGTTAGGAGCTGAGAAGCCTCCTGTGATGCAGAAACAACAAAGCACTTAGACTAAACATACTCATTTTACTTACAGAGAAAAGTTTATACAGATTCCACTAAATCAAGCCAAAGCTGAGAAGCACCAGTTGAGCGATATCGCCATTAACAATCAAAAGGAATATCACTGAAGTTACAGAGGTTGCTCTGTAAAGAAACTCAAACCAAAGATAGGTTGGGAGCTCTGCTGAAAGGCTGGCGTACCAGAGGGGAGGAAAGCTGTACGAAGGTGAAGCCTCTGTTCTGGCCCGTCTGTTTGTCCTTGATGAGACGGATGTTGCTGGCTGACAAGTTGGCGTAGGGGGCCAGGGCCGTCATGATGGCCTCCACCGTGGTAAGGGGGGCTATGTTCCTAAGGATGATCGCTGTAGAGGACATACACACATTCAGTATAAATGATCCCATTGGCTCTCAAACCCCTCAGGTCATCTGACAGGACGTAGTTTCATAATGGAGAGGTACTCACTGTCGCCGTAGTAGTCTCCGCTCTGCTGGGTCTCTCTGACTCCAGTGGTGTTGTTGGTCTCACACTCTGTTGGGAAAAGCAGACAGAATGAGAGCAGGGCGTTAGCATCGCCTCACCCTCAGTACCCATGACCTAGGACATGATTTAGAAAATGTTTCTGCTCCACAGGGATTTGACATCCTCGCTATTCCACCTGTCAATTCTCAAGTACGTTTTCAGCTAAATCTGGTTTGTTCACAATACTAAGGAATATGATTTGGCAGGGCTCTACGCTGACCTTTTCTAACAAGGAGCACGTGTGCGCTAACTTAAAAAATGTAGGCGCACTCAAATAAATTTAGCAGTACAATATTTTCGCGCATATGCGAGTGGAATGGTTGCACTGTAGAGCCCTGTATCTGTACTCTGTACTGCGCCTGCACCTGTGCGTAGCCCCATGGCACATTGTCCCAGGCCATCCTTATGGGTGCAAGCAGTGGCTTCCTGATTCAGGAACTACTTACCAGCTTTGGATGCGCCACACCTGAAGCACTTCAACCTCCTCCGGAAATTGTACAGGCCGCACTGCAAGCAACCGGTCACATCATTTTTATTGATAATACAGCTACTTAGGTCCAGGACACCGCTGCCTCAGATGAATAGCAAACTAAAAGTGGGGCAGCATAAGGTGCTTACCTGAGCCAAATGCTCACACTGGCAACTAATGCAATCAGGCATTCCTACACCTAACAATGTGCTCAAACTCATTTGGCAGGAGCTCATTCTGGACTATAAGGTAACAATTGAGGGCATAACATTATCACTACAGCATTTCAGATAGGAGTGGAAGGGGAATATAGTGTGGGCAGGGTGGGATCAAGCCACAGCAGAAACTTACAGTGTTGCAGAGCCAGTCTTCAAACTTGTGCCGGGGGTTGCTGTAATGCATGGCCACACTCTTGCCTTGGATGACCAGGAGTTTCTGTAAGAGGGGGGACAAAATGTTGGTCATTTCAAGCTTTCCTGGCCGGCGTAGGTCTCACTCTAGCTGCACCCAAAATACAAGCAGTGTTGGCAGGGAGGGAAGGGGGAAAGGGACCCCCTGTTGGCGTTTGTGTCAAAGACAGACGGAAGGATGTGTATGTGAGCTTGTGTACAGAGGGTTCTTAAGGTGTTTGGGACCCGAGTGTCCAGACTGAGCCGGAGCAGAGTGTATAATGTTAACATGATAGAGATACTTTGATCGGCTTTCCTAGAACCAGGGATAAGCGTCCCACAACAGACAAATTAATTAGCTAAGAAGCACAGCTTAAATCAATCAACTAAAAAGAAAAAAAACATCAACTGACAAATAAATGCTCAAATTTGGAAAGGACACTAGGCTAGAAGGAGCCAAAATTCCTTATTTTCCCCGATGGCCTTTGACCATCTTTTATCAGAAAAATGACTTCCTGAGTTATCTTACCAGGCAGATTGCAGGGTATAGTAATCTGTGTTTTAAAGTAAATTTCCATTAAATTAGGCTACATGGCTCAATTTTATTGACATCGAATGTCTTAAAACCTTAGTCTTACACCCTAAATATATGGGGGGCAGTGAGATTAAAGAACTATCAGTGAAAGGTTAAATAAACCTCTAAAACCATGCAGTCTTTATGGATACCATATTCAGATTCCAATATAGTATTCTCCAACTAAATTCCAACTTAAATTCCACATTTCCTTCAAATTATTTTTTGTTCTTATTCAGTTCACTTAGGTTGCCATTTGGTTCTCTTTTTTTTCCAGATCTCCAAGGTAAAAGCTAGACTTGGCGATTGTGAAGCAACCTGATTGGTCTCCATCCATCGGGTAGCATCTTGCAAGTGATAAAACTCCACGAAGGCGAAACCTCTGCTTATACCTAGAGACAGCATTCAAATATAGACGGGAGGAGTGTTAGTCAGAGTCCATGGGCACAACATTCAAACTCTGTCACAAACTGCTTCAGGACCCAGTATGGCAAACAGTGGGCCCTTCATTTGGGGTTTTGCCATAGCAAGAAATCCTGCAGGATGACATTGGACCATACATCCTCAGTATGCCTATATGTATTATTTAATTATTTCATTTGAAACAGAGCTTGACTGGCTGATGCTCTTTCTTACTTACCTTTTTACTCCACATCTTAACAGAATGTAAAATATTGTTTCTTTGCTTCTGACATTAATTCATAACGATTCAGATTTTTATGTTGCTACGGCAAAACTGAAGCCAATTGAAGCAGATTGGCCCTGTGGTCAAAGATGGCGGGGGAACGGAGGGACTCCATGGGACGCCTGGGTCTCACCTGTCCTCTTTTTCATCAGTCGGACATCTATTGGCTGGGGTCCCTCCAGCTGGTCCAGGGCAGCTCGGATCTGGAAGGCACAAGAGAGAACATTAAATCCGTAGCCTTCAGTTCTGGAAACACATTTCACTTGACATGATACAGTTACTAACGTCGCCTTTCGTTTCACTAGATAGCCTACTCTTCTTTGCAGAGCAAATGGCAGCCAAACAAACCACATTACTGACCGGTGGTGGGTGTAAAGCAGAGGAAGAAGAACTTACGTCTCCTTCTGTGACGTGAAGAGACAGGCCCCGGAGCATGATAGTCTTACTCTCCTTCTCCTCCCCTGGTTCCCCCCTGTAGTCCTGCTCCGGGAACTCTCCGTCAGAGTGGTAGCCATCTTCAGATCTATCGCTGTTCCGTCGCTTCCGTTCTCTCTGCTGGCGTGGATAAAACAGCGTGGATCAGTGTACTCTCCAAGTGGTCAAGAAGATGAGTTTTGGCTGCACTCCCTTGCCAAGTCATGTCACTGGGCGTCTGACTCGGGACACATACCTCTGGACTGGCTCTGTTCCCCCGTTGTTCCCCTCCGTCATAGCGTTCGCTGCGTCTCTCTTCTCCCCAGCGGCGCATGACGTGCTCTCGTTCCTGGTCCCCTCGCTCCCGCCTCTCACCACGGCCCTGATTGTTGCCGCCGTATCTGCCGCTACGCTCTGTGCGACTCACCCTGTGTACACACAGGCAAAGACACAGTCAAAAGCAGATCTAATTTTGACACTCAAGGAATAAATGGGTTACAATGTAATCATATGGCTCAAGATAACCCCCAAGTACTATTTACAATTTTGACATAACCCTTACAATTCTGTTTGTTCAAGTAGAAAGAAATGTACTATTGCATTGTTATGTGTGGGATTTAGTCAGTGTGTTATGTTGCAAACCACTCTGCTTCCTCATACTGTGAATGCCACCGAAACTCTGCCTAAAGCCCTAACCAGTTTATACCCTGTGCAAGTGACACGTTACTACATCATACTTCAGTGTTCATGTCCCTGGTCTTTTGAATGGGCTTGACGATTACATCATAAAATTCATGAAAACCCGATCATAAGATATATAAAAAAGTATATTTGTGTTTATGAATGAATTTCCTTCTGCCAGATGCTAGGGATGTAACGAGTCACCAATACGCATCGGTCCACTGTTCAACTGTTTAAGATATGAGTGCTTTAGTCCACGGGACCCATAACGGATCCAAATGTAGCATGCGCCGGTCAAAAACAAAATCGATTGAAACGCTACAAATTGCCGGTTCACTAGCATTTATTTATTCTCTAAAATTACTTTCTTTCTACCTTCCGAAAATACCTCATCTTGTGTCGAACTGAGCATGTAATTATGTTGACAGTCATTGATCTACAAGTCATTTTGCATGCCGAACAACCCCAGGCTATATTACTAGCCTAGTCAAACTGCACGCTGTGGCCGCTACGTGTCGCTGTACACCGCTTTGCGCGCTAGCCAAAGAGAGGTAGGCCTATTCCTGCTTTCAAATGTTTGTCAAATGGCTTGCGCAATGTTAGGGTTTATTAGTTGAGTGACAACCAATGTAATTTGCTAGGTCATTTTTATCAAATGCTCTGTTGAAAATGGTGTTTTACCAGAATAAAAGTAGCCTAAGCTACCGCTGGAGACAACTCATCTGGCTATATAGGTAGGCTAAATGCTGATCTGGCCTTACATTATATTTCATTTCGATTGTTCAGGTTCACCATCAGCAATAATTTTGGTTGTTTTGCTTTAAACAGTCAGTATATATGGTCATTTTTAGATACAGTGAGGGAAAAAAGTATTTGATCCCCTGCTGATTTTGTACGTTTGCCCACTGACAAAGAAATTATCAGTCTAATTGTAATGGTAGGTTTATTTGAACAGTGAGAGACAGAATAACAACAAAAAAATCCAGAAAAACGCATGTCAAAAATGTTATCAATTGATTTGCATTTTAATGAGGGAAATAAGTATTTGACCCCTCTGCAAAACATGACTTAGTACTTGGTGGCAAAACCGTTTGACGTTTGGTAACTCGAACCTTCAGCTCCCTCCACAGATTTTCTATGGGATTAAGGTCTGGAGACTGGCTAGGCCACTCCAGGACCTTAATGTGCTTCTTCTTGAGCCACTCCTTTGTTGCCTTGGCCGTGTGTTTTGGGTCATTGTCATGCTGGAATACCCATCCACGACCCATTTTCAATGCCCTGGCTGAGGGAAGGAGGTTCTCACCCAAGATTTGACGGTACATGGCCCCGTCCATCGTCACTTTGATGCGGTGATGTTGTCCTGTCCCCTTAGCAGAAAAACACCCCCAAAGCATAATGTTTCCACCTCCATGTTTGACGGTGGGGATGGTGTTCTTGGGGTCATAGGCAGCATTCCTCCTCCTCCAAACATGGCGAGTTGAGTTGATGCCAAAGAGCTCCATTTTGGTCTCATCTGACCACAACACTTTCACTCAGTTCTCCTCTGAATCATTCAGATGTTCATTGGCAAACTTCAGACGGGGATGTATATGTGCTTTCTTGAGCAAGGGGACCTTGCGGGCGCTGTAGGATTTCAGTCCTTCACGGCGTAGTGTGTTACCAAATGTTTACTTGGTGAATATGGTCCCAGCTGCCTTGAGATCATTGACAAGATCCTCTCGTGTAGTTCTGGGCTGATTCCTCACCGTTCTCATGATCATTGCAACTCCACGAGGTGAGATCTTGCATGGAGCCCCAGGCCGAGGGAGATTAACAGTTATTTTGTGTTTCTTCCATTTGCGAATAATCGCACCAACTGTTGTCACCTTCTCACCAAGCTGCTTGGCGATGGTCTTGTAGCCCATTCCAGCCTTGTGTAGGTCTACAATCTTGTCCCTGACATCCTTGGAGAGGTCTTTGGTCTTGGCCATGGTGGAGAGTTTGGAATCTGATTGATTGACTGCTTCTGTGGACAGGTGTATTTTATACAGGTAACAAGCTGAGATTAGGAGCACTCCCTTTAAGAGTGTGCTCCTAATCTCAGCTCGTTACCTGTATAAAAGACACCTGGGAGCCAGAAATCTTTCTGATTGAGAGGGGGTTAAATCCTCATTTCCCTCATTAAAATGCAAATCAATTTATAACATTTTTGACATGCGTTTTTCTGGATTTTGTTGTTGTTATTCTGTCTCTCACTGTTCAAATAAACCTACCATTAAAATTATAGACTGATCATTTCTTTGTCAGTGGGCAAATGTTCAAAATCAGCAGGGGATCAAGTACTTTTTTCCCTCACTGTATATAGTATAAAGTTGATAATTTCATAAAGAGGACTGCAATCACTTTTGCTACCCGCAACACTTCCAAACGGTCTAAACAATTAAATGATGAGACCGGAGTGAAATCCAAAGTTGTGCTACATATTCATTGGCTGTCATAGATCATTTTTAAAGATAAATATTGATACATTACTAGCTCTAACACTTTTAATCTGCAAAAATGTCAAATTAATTAGTGAGTGATGGATATTTCTGATCAAAAGTGTGTGTGGTGGGTGGGGAGTACAAAAAGCCAACAATGACCTCCCTAACAGATAGTGGGGTGGTAGATGCCCAGTTTCCCTTATGGTTCAGCTCAGATGTCTACATACAGTGGGGAGAACAAGTATTTGATACACTGCCGATGTCTGTAATTTTTATCATAGGTACACTTCAACTGTGAGAGACGGAATCTAAAACAAAAATCCAGAAAATCACATTGTATGATTTTTAAGTAATACATTTGCATTTTATTGCATGACATAAGTATTTGATCACCTACCAAACCAGTAATAATTCCAGCTCTCACAGACCTGTTAGTTTTTCTTTAAGAAGCCCTCCTGTTCTCCACTCATTACCTGTATTAACTGCACCTGTTTGAACTCGTTACCTGTATAAAATACATATTTCCAAACACTCAATCAAACAGACTCCAACCTCTCCACAATGGCCAAGACCAGAGAGCTGTGTAAGGACATCAGGGATAAAATTGTAGACCTGCACAAGGCTGGGATGGGCTACAGGACAATAGGCAAGCAGCTTGGTGAGAAGGCAACAACTGTTGGCGCAATTATTAGAAAATGGAAGAAGTTCAAGATGACGGTCAATCACCCTCGGTCTGGGGCTCCATGCAAGATCTCACCTCGTGGGGCATCAATGATCATAAGGAAGGTGAGGGATCAGCCCAGAACTACACGGCAGGAACTGGTCAATGACTTGAAGAGAGCTGGGACCACAGTCTCAAAGAAAACCATTAGTAACACACTACGCCGTCATGGATTAAAATCCTGTAACGCACGCAAGGTCCCCCTGCTCAAGCCAGCGCATGTCCAGGCCTGTCTGAAGTTTGCCAATGACCATCTGGATGATCCAGAGGAGGAATGGGAGAAGGCCATGTGGTCTGATGAGACAAAAATAGAGCTTTTTGGTCTAAACTCCACTCGCCGTGTTTGGAGGAAGAAGAAGGATGAGTACAACCCCAAGAACACCATCCCAACCGTGAAGCATGGAGGTGGAAACATCATTCTTTGGGGATGCTTTTCTGCAAAGGGGACAGGACGACTGCACCGTATTGAGGGGAGGATGGATGGGGCCCATGTATTGCGAGATCTTGGCCAACAACCTCCTTCCCTCATTAAGAGCATTGAAGATGGGTCGTGGCTGGGTCTTCCAGCATGACAACGACCCGAAACACACAGCCAGGGCAACTAAGGAGTGGCTCCGTAAGAAGCATCTCATGGTCCTGGAGTGGCCTAGCCAGTCTCCAGACCTGAACCCAATAGAAAATCTTTGGAGGGAGCTGAAAGTCCGTATTGCCCAGCGACAGCCCCGAAACCTGAAGGATCTGGAGAAGGTCTATATGGAGGAGTGGGCCAAAATCCCTGCTGCAGTGTGTGCAATCCTGGTCAAGACCTACAGGAAACGTATGATCTCTGTAATTGCAAACAAAGGTTTCTGTACCAAATATTAAGTTCTGCTTTTCTGATGTATCAAATACTTATGTCATGCAATAAAATGCAAATTAATTACTTAAAAATCATACAATGTGATTTTCTGGATTTTTGTTTTAGATTCCGTCTCTCACAGTTGAAGTGTACCTATGATAAAAATGACAGACCTCTACATGCTTTGTAAGTAGGAAAACCTGCAAAATCGGCAGTGTATCAAATAATTGTTCTCCCCACTGTACACCATAGACGTCAGTGGTGGAAAAAGTATCCAATTGTCATACTTGAGTAAAAGATACCTTAATTTAAAAAAATAATCAAGTCAAAGTCACCCAGTAAAATAGTACTTGAGTAAAAGTCTAAAAGCATTTGGTTTTAAAGATACTTAAGTATCAAAAGGAAATGGAATTCTCAAATATACTTAAGTATCAAAAGTATAAATAACTGAAAATTCCTTATATTAAGCAAACCAGATGGCACCATTTTATTTTTTACAAATAGCCTGGGGCACACTCCAACACTCAGACATTTACAAACTAAGCATTTGTGTTTAGTGAGTCCAGCAGATCAAAGGCAGTAGGGATGACCAAGGATGTTCTCTTGATAAGTGTGTGATTTGGACCATTTTCCTGTCCTGCTAAGCATTCAAGTACTTTTGGGTGTCAGGGAAAATGTATGGAGTAAAAAGTACATTATTTTCTTTAGGAATGTACTGAAGTAAA